AGAACTTATGGCTATAATTGCACATTGGAATGAATGGTACCAAATTGAAGTTCGTGATTGGCAGTTTCTTGAACCAGGCGAAGCTAAAACAACTATTGATTCCCATCATGCTGCAGTAAGTATTCTATTGCTTATTGCTGTATAATAAATTACACATTAAAATCATATTTACCTTTAGATTGCCCATTCAATTAGAAGATATGTTCGAATTGGATATGATGTTCGTGAAGGAAAAGATATAGTGGAGGCGGCTAAACATTTATCTGGTACATCATTGGCAAATTTAGAACCAGATCGAGATCAATTGGGATCAAATGTCAAAACGATAAAGGGCATTTCAAACTTGTTTTATTGGAAATGGCCAGTTTCTGGTGAAATGATAGGTTACATATGTGCACGATCACTCCCACATTTTGGACCATGGAACAATTTCCCTCCTTCTACAATTGCCAAACTTTGCACCAAACCAATTGTTCGTCCCCATCCAAAAATTTCTGAACAAACTGAACCTGAATCAGCTTGGACAATTCCAATTTCAACTCTGCCAAGTGATCAATTGTAAAAAATATTTTTTTTAGGTTCGTTAAAAGCCTTTGGCTAATGCATTCTATAGATACAGATACGGTTGATCCTATTGTACCAGAATTTATGGATAATAATAATGAAAATGATGAATTAGAAGTTGCAAGGTAAATAATGTGAAGCTTAAAACAAATATAATTCAAATTAATTTCTTACATGTTTTGTATTGAATTAGTTCTATTGACGTAAAATTTCAATTTCCTATGGGATGGGCGCTAAAAAGCAATCAAAAATTTGGAGGAAAAGGTAAAGGAAAAAGGATGAAAAAGAAAGTAAAGGAGTTGTTAAAAAGTTTTTTCTTGAATGGAAATCTCAACCAAAAAGATAAGATGTTAGCAAAGGATATGTATAATGAATTGATGAAATTTGTTGAATCTGGTGAATTAGAAGCTGAAGATGTCCCTAAGATAACAACAATACAAAATTGGATTTCAACTTATGCACGAACCTTCAAAGAACAAGCTACAGAAAACATGATAAAAGATATTCGTGATGAGATTTCTTTATAATAAGCAGAAATGTAAATTGTATATTAGAACGAAATACAAGAAATTATACGCAAAAACTAATAAATAAAACTAAATAAAGGCTTTAAAACCAAATAAAAACCAAATACAATTCGGTTGTGGTTAAAATTATTCAAAAATATTTCACTCAATATTTGAATCGGCTGGAAATTTGCGGTCGGAATGTCGTGTTCCTCCATAGTAAAGTCGATGACGATGAACTTTAGCGATTTCAAACTTTGCAAGTGGCTTGGCTAGGATTGACACTATTTATTGCCGTATTCAAAATTTTCATTAAATATCACGTGAGAAGACGTCGATCTAACAAAAATCGGGTTTTAGCCATTTTCGGCAATGATTTGCGTAAACCGTTATTATTAAATTTCACCTATTGGGTACCGAACTGTCACTTAAATATAATTTAAGTATATTTTAAGTATTTAGGCAAAAATTAAATATATTAGAAATATATTTTAAGATAATTTTAAATACATTTTAAGTATATTATAAGTATTTCGCAATTTTTAAATTAAATATATTTTAAGTATATTTTAAATATATTTTAAAAAGTTTTTAATTATATTTTAAATATAAATACTTTTTATAGGAAAGAAACTTGCTCTGTATTTTTTGGATAATATGATAAATCTGAATTTTTTTTATTTTGTATTTTAGCTATTTTTTGATTATAAACAATAAAATTATTATAATAAAGCTAATACAATTAGTCATTAAGTTTAAATTCAAAAGTAAGTCATTGAACAGTAGAACTTTTTATAGCTTTAGAAAATAAATTTTTGCTCAGTTTTCTATAATCTTTTCCAGAAATTTGCTAATTATATACAGTATAAAGACTATTATTCTAATGAAAATTTACCTTTACTACTATATTAGAATGCATACATTCAATTTGATTCACCTACAGTTTCATTTTACTTTGCTAATAATACATGGTTTCACTTTATTTATGAAGACGCAATCAGGGTTCTTCCTCTTACTTTGTCAAAAGAATCATGTAACACTAGACAACAGCATTGTTTTAAATTAACTGGTTTACCTAGGAATACTAATACTAGAGATTTAATTGAATACCTCAAATCAATCAATACACATTCTTGCTTTCTTCCTAGAAATGCCAAGAACTACTGTACTTTCAATTATCTTTCAATTATACTTATATCAATTTTTTGACTGAAGATGATATGATTAAAGTGGCTCAAACTCATCACTTTTATAAAGGAAAACCCTTATATTGGATATCTCTTAATACCCAATGTTGTAATTTCTGTAGACATCCTAAACACTTGGCTAAAAGTTGTAACAATCATTTTCAACAAGTTAATCAAAATAAGCAATGCAAAAATATCTACAATCACTTTAAACCTGCTCAACACTGTGATAGCTGATAACAAAACAAACAAAAATCCTTTGCTGAAGTGGTCAAATAAAAAAATAATAATAATTATCCTGATAACAATAATGGGAATAATTCTTCTTCTAATCTCAATCCTAAAAATGGTACTGCCAAAAGTGGTTCCATATATGATAATAATGGTTAACTCTTAACTTTATCAAGTTTATCAAATGATGACTGAACTTCAATTTATGTTCAAAGGTCTTTAAACTGAAATGTTTATTCTTAATAGAAAGGTTGATGATAGGATTAAACAAAAATCTATTCCATCATACTTTCCCATTATTCCAAATACTGCTACTTCTGCTTCCACTTTTACTCCAATTATTTAACCAAAACAAAAACAACCTGCTCCTACTTCTCAGATAAATTTTAGTAATACGACCTTATTTACTAAACGTATCTACACTGATATCAAATTTTCCAATTCTGATTCTAATAATGATGATATTATCAAAGAACAATTTACTATCAATAGATCAATATCTAATATGTTAAACAAATTAGATAAACTTATGAACTTTATGAAATTCAGTAACTCACCAGGACCCTGAACATTTCTAAAACAAGTTATAACTGACTTTTGGCCAAAAATACCACTTTTCGCTAAAACTCAAAAATCGTATTTTATAAATATCTCAGCATCTAGTAATTCAATTTTGAAGAATTTTTTATTTTGTAGCCCACATTTAGCTCAACAATTTAAAAAAAAGTTTATTAAAATCGGACCACTGGATGCCAAAATATTTACAAAAAATAATTTTTTGAGCTCTCAAAAAATGGGTTAATTTGCTAAAAGTGTAACTTAGATCCTAATCTGTTAAACTCTTTCTTGTAGATTCTTGGTCAAAAATTTTGCGAAAGAAATTTTTACTTTTCATACTAACACAACTCATATTTTCTCAACTAAAATGACCGGTAAACGTAATAACAAGGCTGGCAGTAATCCTAACGGAACCCTGCTAAGTGACAAGAAAAATGAAACAAAAATAAAAACTCTGGCTCTGATGTTTCAATTGTTATCTTTAAGGGTATTTGATTTGATTCGTCAAAAGAATTTTAGTTGGTTGATCCCCAGTCAAATCAATGATACCAGTATTCATTGTTGGCGTATTATAATTATCATTAAAAAATGATGTCAAAAAGGTGGTGCGCATTCTTTTTAATTCAATTTCTTGTGTTATTTTTTGGGAATTTTCGATATGTATTGGTGTAATAATATGTTCCTTTAATCTGGTTCCATCACTAAACAGTGCAGAGTTATTAATTTTTGACAACTTTAACAATAAACATGCTTATTATTACTAATAAATCGTAGGATTTATCCTCTAAAATCTTTTTAAATAAAAATTTTCCCGATAGAACAAGATTTTGAAAATCTTCTACTATCTTTTGTTCTGTATTTTCATCTCAAGTTCTTTTGGCTGATAAATTTTTACTTTGAACTACTAAAATTTAATATAAATTACTTAATTATTTTACACGTTGTAATACGCCGCCCATAGGATATTAATAAAATATCGTATGTTGCCACTGAAGTGTTGAGTTCAAATAATATTTCTGCTTAGTTCAAAATAAAAATTATAAAAATTAGTTACAAAACATAATTTCTTACTAAAATTTTAAATTGCGATAATTTTCCTAAATTTATTAATTTTCATATTAAATCATTAATTAAAATAATTAATGAGTCACTTTTCTCATAAGAAAAGGCTAAACAGTGTGTTAGTTTCTATTAAGGGCGAACTAAAATTTTATTTTTTTACTTAAATCGAACTGCGGACTTGAACTGTGGAATTCCTATCGAAATCCACACCCCTTCATACATTTTAAGAAAATCATTTCTAATATCTACTTATCTTTTTCTAATAAAAATTTAAAAAAATTTAAGAAAATAAAAGATCTATTATCATATGACTATTTTGTTACACTAAACTAAACTATAAATATAATTTTATCGGCTAATTATTTACCTATCGGTTAATTATTTATCTATCGACTAATTATTTATCCTTATTCTATTTTATTATATTTTCGGTTATTACATTTTATTTATCCTTATTCTATTTTATTATATTTTCGGTTATTACATTTATCCTCCTCTTGAAAAATTTATGTCCCATAAATTAAGAATCGAACCCGGGTCTCAAACATATTATATTATTATATATGGTTCAAATATTTCCCTATCAAAGTATTCTTTTAATAATTCTCCATTTACAGGTCTTCTTAAAATTCTTCCATTTAATTCTTTAATTTTATATGATCCATCTACTATTACTTCATGTATATAATATGGTTCTTTCCATTTTTCTTCTAGTTTTCCTGTATGTGTTTTGTATTTTGCCGCATCAAAGTATAATACTTTATCTCCTATTTGAAAGTTTTGTTTTCGTTTTCCAATTTTGTCATGATATTTCTTTTGTTGTTCTTGTGCTTTTTCAATATTCTTCTTTGCTTCATGTCTTTTTATTGGTAATTCTTCTATTATATATTCTATTCTTTTAATCATTGTAATTCCTTTAACTTCTTTGTCATCTGGTAATATTACTTTTCTTCCATAAGTCAAATAAAATGGTGTCATTTTACTTGATTTTTGTATTTTACTCCTATATGCAAACAATATTGGTGCTATTCTTTGATTCCAATTTTTATCTTCATATTCTCTATTTCTATATATCGTTAATTTTTCTTTTACTAATTTCGCTAATGATTCTATTAATGTTTTATTAAATCGTTCTACTAATCTATTTGTTTTAGGAGGACCCCGGATATCTAATATAAAGGTCATAATGGACTTTTGGCCAAAAACACCCCTTTTTGCTGAAACTCAAAAAATCGTTTTTTGTAAATATCTCAGCATCCAGTAATTCAATTTTAATGAACTTTTTTTTATTTGTAGCCCTCATTTAGCTCTACAATTTAAAAAAAAGTTCATCAAAATTGGACTACTGGATGCCGAGATATTTACAAAAAACGATTTTTTGAGCCCCTGAAAAATGGGCCAATCTGCCAAAAGTGTGACTTATGACCTGTTTTGGAGATATCCGGGGTCCTGTTTTAGGGTGATAAAGAGTTGAGAATTTATGCTGAATATTAAATTTTCCAGTAAGATTTTTAGTTAATTGATTATTAAATTCTGATCCATTATCTGTAAGTATTTTTTTGAACATCCATGTCAACAAATTATTTCTTCATAAATAAATTTTGATATTTCTTTTGCATTCGCTTCTTTTATTGCTTTTGCTTCTGGCCATTTTGTAAAGAAATCTATTGCTACTACTATATATTTATTTCCTTTTTCTGTTTTTAGTAATGGTCCTATTACATTTATTCCAATCATATGAAAAGGTTCTTTTACTTCTATTAGATGTAATTCATGTAGTCCTTGTGGATTATTTCTTCTTTGACAATTATCATAACTTTTTACATATCTTTCTACATCTCGTTTTATATTTTTCCACCAATATTTTTCTTTTACTTTTTCATATGTAGCTTGAATTCCAAAATGTGCTGATAATTCATGATCATGCATCATATACATTATTCCTTTTAATTCGAATCTTCTTATTACTCTAAACTTATTTTC